TCTGCTGCCTGAAGCCATAGCTGAAGCGGTTACTTCTAAAGCTCTAAAAACATAAAAAAAATTATCAATGAGTAAAAATGTAGTACCTAAAGAGGAAATATTTTACAAAAAACAAAATTACAACTTACTTTAGTTTTCAAGCTTTTGACACCTTATCTTGCCGTTCTGAGAGAAATCAGAGGGCGGGGGAGAAAGGGAAAAATAAAAGTCGCAAACAGAAAGGACAAAGTAAAGGGGGAGAAGCCACAACAAAAGTAGTAGTAGTAGAGGTGATAATGATGGTGACGCAAAAGAAGTTGGTAAGTCGGTTGTTCACACACACAAACGGAGGTTCACGCAAACAAACTCTACTTTTTTGGAGTAGTAGTAAAAGTAGAAGTAAAAGAAGTTGTAGAAGTCGGCATCACTCGTCACCACCAACTATCAAAAAAGTTCGTGAAAGTGCGCGTACATGTAGTGGCAATCATAGTGCAGTAGGGTTAAAGTCTCGCCAATGAGCAAAGTCAAGGTCACTTGGGTGCTGAGGTGAGAGTTCCAGCAGAGTGAGGAAGTGGAGGTCGTGGGAGAGGGAGGAGAGGATGCCGAGTCGAGAGGGTGACGAAGTCCAGTTGATCTAGCCATAGTTCTGTTCGGGGAAGGACGGCGGAGAATGCGGATACATTTATGGGGTGACGAAGTGGCTTGAAGAGGAGGTTGAGTCGGAGAAGAGTTGGTCAAGTCAGGTAAAGTGAGTTGGTTGGTTGAAGTTTATGTCGGAGGAGTTTGTGGTAAAGTGAGGTTTTTTGTGACTGGATGAGAAGAGCGTATATGTCCTTGCCGGCGTTCGCTTCGACAATAATCAGCACTCGCTTGCAGACTTTTGACTTGAGGTGTCTACAGTAAGTGAGGGAGACTAGCAGTCTTATTTGGTGCACATTATCCTTATCAGACGCACTTCTTTAGGCACAGAGACAAGTCCACACACACTCTCCCTCAAAGAAAAGAGAAGGAGGAACGAGGGGGCAAGTCAACAAGTCTGTTATTTGCCAAAGGGCAGGATCGGCTGAAGAGAAGAAGAAGAGCACACACAACTTTCAACTTTTGCTTTGTTGATTGATGTTGATGATAAGTGGGCGAGGGAGGCGAGGGCAGGGGAGGGCAGTTCACTGATGAGGAGGCTGATAAGAGTGTGCAGAGCCCGGGGATTAGGCTGTACGAAAGTGAAAGATCAGTAGCAGTTTAGCAGAACCAAAAGTAAAGAAGTAGTATTTTTCATTATGTAATAAGGCGCAGTGCGGTAAAAACTTCCTGGAGAGTTGAATTTGTGACCACTTTGCGTGTGTGGCTGATAAGGATGCGGTTTCGTTTGGTGACAAACTGAAATGAAATGAAGTAGGATGGTAGAGAAGAAGAGGACAGCACTGTTACTTTCTATTCAGCTTCTTATTCGTGTCAGACAGTTGTTGAGAAGAGGACGTACTCTTGGGGCAGGCAGAATGTTTAGAAGCAAAGTCCCATCATTGCAGCAGACTGATCATCAGCATCATCAGTAGCATTGCATTCAATCGAAGTGATAACAAGCGATCTTTGATGCTACCAACAACTACAGAATGGGTAATCTTCGAGATCAGAAGAGATGAAATGCTAGTGGAAAATACTCTTGCCGAAAGAGCTACAGAGTGCGAGAAAACTTTTCACCAAACTTGAAGTTGAATATTATTGAACAGACGCAAATTCTTCATCAAGAGATCAGATTAAATTACATCATCATCATTACCACAATGACTCACTACTGAACATGATCACCTGACAGGCTGTGATCGTTATCAGCTGATTAAAGTAAACAACAAACAAATCAGAAGACACTTGTTACACACACAACACAACAGTGATGATCTGCATAGCGACAAATGCGGTGCTAATGAGCACCGTTTGCCAGAAGGCTCTTTCTCAGCCACTCTGCACCCATCACCAGTGCGCCAATTATCGCCAATGAAATGTAATAGCAACGAGCACAAGTTTTTGTTCTTAAGCAAAACTTTACATTGCCTAACCGATGTCACCAATCTCTCCTTCTTTCTTTTTCCTCAAGTCTGTTGATTAGATGACATCAATTGACGTGATTGTCTGCATCTCAACTGCAGTTGCCAGTTTGCGATGTCTAACTGTCGTTTTTCTCTCACCAGTGCCAGTGCCCAACTGGTTCGGTCGAATTTGGGTTTACAAGTACAGCGGATCAGTAGTGGAGCACTAGATTAACGGAACCAGTATTAGTGCACTTGCCCGATAGCAAGCAGTTCGAACCAGAATAATACTGAATTAGGTTAGCTACTGGTTGATTGATTGATTGCGGCGCTTGGTTCATTTCAAATCGTCAAATTCAATCGGTGTCATCCTCAGCGTCCTCTCATCTCAAGTTCAAATGCTTTCTGATTGTGGCCAAACAGACACTGCCAACCAGCACTACTATCACCGCAAAAATACGTCGATTTCTTCCAGTTGTACTGTCTACTGACAGCAATCCCTTCCAGCCAGCCTAGTTGCGAACTAGTGAGCTAGTGCTTATCATCGCGCACATATGCAGGCCTGCAAAGTTGGTCTGCGAGAGTCTTCGAGAGAAAGAGAGAGACGCACATGAGACCACTCTTGTGCAGTGGCACTATCACTGGCCCAGCAGTAGTGTAGGCATGATAGCCAAACGAAGTCAACTGTTCAGACTAGCCAACTGCCAGTAATAATAGCACAGCAGCTTGGTCTGTTGTAGAGTAGTAGTATCTTCTGTAGGTTTGATAGCTGCTGTTGATCTACTGCTAGCGATCTTTGTCCGCTGACGTCTACTACTACCACTAATCGGCCACTACCCAATCAACAACAGCAATCAGCGCTTTTTAAACTTTTCAAACAAAGTGACAAAGTGCAAAGTGAGTGTATACTTTTGCGAGGGGCGGCCAGTCAGTTTACTTTTGCCTGGAAAGCCCTCGCAATGAAAAAAATAAACACACTTCTATTTTGGCCACTTGTTGACTGTGTAGCTATCAAATGCAAATACACAGCATGATTAACAATGAAAAAAGTATATTTTTGTCGCTTCTGAAGTAGAAAGTGCTTCTAGAATGGTTTTACAAGCAAAATGGGCAACACTTCTTTAAAAATACTTTTTTTCAGGCTTCTGGCGTAGTTGGCCCATCCCCAATGTTGCCTGTTTAGTGCGCATCAATCACTTTAATCAAACTAAGAATATTGCAGGCAAATCTTATCAAACTCGCGCTCTTTGGCTTCATAGTCGGCGAGGTAAATATCTCCAGCGGCACCAGGACTGTCCTTTAGTTGGTTGAAAAGCCGATTCGCTAGTTCAGTTTTGTTGTTGTACTGCNGCAGGCAAATCTTATCAAACTCGCGCTCTTTGGCTTCATAGTCGGCGAGGTAAATATCTCCAGCGGCACCAGGACTGTCCTTTAGTTGGTTGAAAAGCCGATTCGCTAGTTCAGTTTTGTTGTTGTACTGCGCCAAGATCATCTGGTTGATGATGGCCTCAGTGTAATTCGGATCTCTGTCAATAGTCTCCTGCACCAGTGCCTCTGCTTCCTTCAGCTTTCCCTGGGCAATCAAAGCGGCAGCCTGCCCGTTGAGCAGCAACGGCGACGGACCGAACTTTTCACGTAGTTCCTCCATGATAAAGAAGGCGTCCTGGAGCTTTTCTCCCGCCTGAAATAGGTAGATCGACATCAGTGCCAGCTGAGACAGTGTGCAGTACTCGTCCTTTTCGGCCATTCGCTTGTACTCCTTTCGGGCGAGATCTAACCGATCCAGCTGAAGAAAAGTTTGCACCGTAAGTGCCATACTAAATGTCAAATGATAACAAAATATTAGTTCAAAAACAAAAAATGATCAGTTTAATAAAACGGTTACCATTCCAAGTCGTCAGATTTGTAGAGCACTTTCAAAGCGAGGTCATAGTTCTTCTGGTAGTACTGAATGGTGGCGGCAATGAGCTGTGAAACGCTGTCGCTGGTGTATCTATCAAATTCGGCGTCAACTTGCTCGGCAATCTCCACCCTTTGAAAATGAAATCAATANTAGTACTGAATGGTGGCGGCAATGAGCTGTGAAACGCTGTCGCTGGTGTACCTATCGAAGTCGGCGTCAACTTGCTCGGCAATCTCGACCCTTTGAAAGTTAAATTAATAAACACAGAAAGCAACTAAAGGTATTGGTGCCTTACTTGGCGGAAGATGATGTTGTCGAGTGATATTTAGCCAGCAACTTTACCGCCTGAAGAGGAGCCGGCATCGAGTCGCGAATTTCACTGGAGACGAGGCCATACTTTTTCTGCGCCGTGTAAGCCCGGTACATGAAAATGTCCTGCTCCAGCTTCTGCTCTTCAGTTTTAGTCTGTCAAGTTGATTGGAAATAAAACAAAAGTCAATCACCGGTGAACACTAAAAACCCAAACAAACCAAAACAAACCTTTGCTTTCTGAACCTCATTCAGGCACTGCTGCCAGTTGCCCAAGTAGAGGGCGTTTTTCACATCAAACAGCGGATCTGGCCCCGACATGTCGCTTGCTTGGTGGACTTTGACCGGTGGAAAATTCGATAAAATCTTTTTTCTGAATCAGGAATGATTGAAGGCGACAAACCAAAGAGAGAGATGTGTCAGTTCCAAGTGCCAGCTCAGCTTTTGCATTTGCTGCGACAAGTCGCCGAAAAGGCAACTCCACGAAGCATTTTCAGCAAACTTTTCACTGTTGTTTTTCTAATTTTTCCCACGAGTTTCTCAACAGAACTCTGCTGCTGCTTTTCTTCAACAGCTGTTTACAGCCAAGGTGTTCAAGAGATTGTGGTGGCCTTCTCTCTGTAAGAAATGTACCGCATTCGGCCCAGGTTCGTTGATCACCCCCTCCTCTTGATAACTGTTTGTAACTGTACCCATTGTTCTTTTACTTTACCCTTCAGCCAAAGACACTGGTTACGAGTCATCGAGTGCACTGCTGCTCACNATTGTGGTGGCCTTCTCTCTGTAAGAAATGTACCGCATTCGGCCCAGGTTCGTTGATCACCCCCTCCTCTTGATAACTGTTTGTAACTGTACCCATTGTTCTTTTACTTTACCCTTCAGCCAAAGACACTGGTTACGAGTCATCGAGTGCACTGCTGCTCACCGACCTTCCATCATCATCAGACCAGAGCCGATTGCCGTGAGGATACTTCCGCCACTGAGGAGGTCACTTCACTTATCAACGACACATCTCTTCAATCATCCTCGCCACCTTTCCACCACCTCACCTCAAAAGAAGGAAGATCATCATCACCACTTCGGACGGTCTTTGGTTCCCTATGCCGTCTTGATGCGGCTCAACAAGCCCACTGGCACCTGGCTACTGCTATGGCCGTGCTGGTGGAGCATCGCCTTGAGCACCNCGGCCAGCCTGCTGGGCCTGTTCGGAGCAGGGGCGCTTCTGCTGCGCAGCTCCGGCTGCATCATCAACGACATTTGGGATCAGAAGTTTGACTCGAAGGTTGAGCGGACGAAGCAGCGGCCGATCGCCGCCAACCAGGTGTCTCTGCTCGATTCGGTCATCCTCCTGCACGGCCTAAATGCATGCGGCCTCCTAGTCATCCTCCAGTTCGACCTGAGCAGCATCGCCCTGGCTCTCAGCTCCATGGCACTGGTGGTCATCTACCCTGCCTGCAAGCGCTTCACCAACTGGCCGCAGCTGGTCCTCGGCATGACCTTCAACTGGGGAGCACTGCTCGGCTGGTCGGCCGCCTGCAACGGCACGCTGAACTACGCCGCCGTCCTTCCCCTTTACCTGGGCGGCATCTGCTGGACGCTCATCTACGACACACTGTACGCCCACCAGGACAAGAAGGACGACATTAAGCTGGGGCTGAAGTCGACGGCCATCAAGTTCGGCGACAGCACCTCGAGGTACCTGAACAGCTTCGCCGCGCTGATGACCGCCTCGCTGACGTTGGCCGGTGTGAACACTGACCAGTGCTGGCCGTACTACCTGTCGGTGGCCGCCTGTGGCGCCAACCTTCACCGGATCATCCGCAAGACGGACATCAACGATGTGGAGCAGTGTGCCAGCGCCTTCAAGCAGAACTTTCACATTGGCTGGATGCTCTTTGCGGGCATTGTCTTGAGCACACTGCTCAAAGATAAAAAGACTACAGCATCCTCTGAAATTACCGATGAGGAAGAAGTGGCACAAATGAGCAGTGGGAGTAGTAGAAAGGAGGAGGAGGAGCCGTCCAAAGAGATGGCAGTGAATGGGACTGTGATTTCCAACAACGTTGGCCGCCCTCTGATAGTTGGCAGCCCCCAAACACTGAGTATATCTTCTAGTAGTCTGGCAAAGATTTAACGTGCTGTTTTTCTTGTTTACCTGTTGTTATTTTAGTGTTAAACACTGTAAATTCAATAAACCCGCGCCGCGCTAGTTAATCCTTGCCGGCAAAGCAGTGCAAAAAATCAGCGACGCTCGTTTTTGCATAAATTTTTGTGTCCTTTTTAATAAAAAAATTATTTTTCGTTACACAAAGTACATCTTAAGAAAATTTTTTATTATTTCACTGTTCTGGCAAAATATTGGAAAGATGTACTAATAAAATAATTCCATGGCGTCAAATCGTTCTTTTAGTGACATTCTGGAGACAAAAAGTAATTTTGTTTAAACACAAAGAGATTAAATACTTGACATTTTGTTAGAAACACTAAAATGCTAAAAAAATATTAGAAATAAAAAGAACATTTTTATTAGTCAAAATTTTGAAAATACTAATGTTGCTAAGAAAAGTTAGTGTAATTGATATGATTTGTAATAAAACTGAGTTTAGAGGTGAATTTGGAATGCAATAAGTATTAGGTGGTGATTTTATTGTTGAAAAAGATAATCCAAAAAATGGAAATTGGCTAGACTTAAATATTACCCATATTAAGAAAGATAAACGGAAATCACTGATATATAAAAGTTGAAAGTAGTTTAAAAATATCTAATTTGAAATAGTTTTAGTTAACATTATTAAAAATGATGCTTAAAACATTTTTTCTTTTTGCTGTGTGTATGACGGTAAACACAGTTGTAACAGCAGCCCCTACAAAAATTCTAGTGAAATCAACATCAAAACCAGACCCACTATTACCTCTCACACCAACTCCAAAATTAGACCCAAACGCAACTACGCCTACTAAAAAGCCAGACCCAAATCCATCTTCGACGCCAACTCCGACGCCAGCTCCCACTCCAGACCCAAATCCATCTTCAACGCCAGCTCCCACTCCAGACCCAAATCCATCTTCGACGCCAGCTCCGACGCCAGATCCAAATCCATCTTCGACGCCAACTCCCACTCCAGA